TACAAATAATTTTGCCCCTCTACAAACAAAACAAATTTATTACTGAGCTCCATATTTATTCGTCTTTTATATGAGTTATGAGTAGGGGTGTTCAAAGCCAGCCCGTCTTAGTCTTAATCTTATCAAGATGAGAGGGGACAAAAATGGGACCGACACGAGAGGTGTTTGTCCTAGTTACATTTCAATAGTACTATTTTTTTTTTTAATTTTTTTATTATATTATAATTGCTGTTAAGAAGTTGAGTGGATATCATAAACGGCATTTAAGGCATGTGTAATACACAATATTTATATTTATAGCTTTTAGCACATAAGTAGTTGAATGATCATTATTTATTTAGAGCTTTCATAGTTGCTGATGATTTCTAGAATGGTGAAAATGAACTTTCGAGTTATTATGTTATCGATTTTTATTTATTTAGACTTTTGTTTAAGAGGGCTAAGGCAAAAGAAATAAAAAAGAGAGTAAAATATATTAGTCTTCTCTCTATTTAACCTAAATTATAAAGACTTTCCTTAAAATCAAAATATATATTGCACAAATATCTTTTCTAATTTTGAGATTCAACTTTCATTCACCTATTGTTAGTTGACTGTTCAATAATAAGGTTGACCCATCATTTTGAACAAAATGCCCCTCGTTATTGCAAATATTGCTTAATAATGATCATTTAATCACATATGATATATTTTTATTTAAAATTAAAAAATAATTGTAATACATATTTTAATTTTTTTGTTACATTATTAAATCAATGACCATATTATAAATTTAATTAATTTTGCAAATATAATTTTTATTTTATAATAAATTTAAATGTTTAACATTGTTTATTTATTAAAACTTACTTGTGACGTAATTTTCTAAATATATATATTAGCTGACAATATTTTGTAATTATATATATGTATTTTTAATTAAATTATAAATTTATGTCTTAATTTAGTAAATTTAGTAAAAATATTAAATAGATCATTAATAAATATTAATATTAAAAGATAAATTAGAGATGTAATATAATAAGGGTAAAGTAGTAAAGAAGATTTATTTTAGTATTTTTTTAATTAAAAAGTATACTCAAAAATCTTTTTTTTAAGAATATTCTCCGATGGTATTAATGGTTTGGAGTAAAATATATATTATCAAAATAGAAAGGAGGTCTATGTAATCAAAACAAAACAAAATGGTAGTGAGGGTATTTTCCTCAAAGAGAAAACAAAAAGATATTTTTAGAAGGGTTAGGGCCAAAGGACTGTAAATAAAAACAAAAGCAAAGAAAATGAATTCCAATAAAACAAAAAAAAAAGTTTTACCAAAACAACAAAACAGGATGTTTTGGTATCGGGATAACATATGGGACAAATTGTTTGCTCTATCCCTTCTTGTGAATATCACAAACTCTCAATTTGAGAAGGGGGAGAGAGGAGGAAAAAAGATAGGAAAATGACAATTTTTTAGGGAGAATTATAATCAAATCCTAAGAAAGGAAAATAAACACTAAAAAAAATCTCAATAACAATCTAAATAACTAAGCAATGGAAGCAACTTGTATTTTTTTATTTTTATAAAAGCTGGATATTGTCCGATCAAAGTACAACAATATTAAAGCCTAAATAGCTAACCAGGACTAAAAAAAAACAACTCCTCATCCTCCATCCTCCTGCAAAACACAAGGAGGGGGTTGGTCAAAAGTTTTGTAGCTTCCTTCCATCTCATGCACAGCTCTTGCTAAGTGATCTATAGTAGATAACTCCTCCCGATCTCTGTGGCTTATTAAGACCTACCAATCCCTACAAAGCAGCATACGGGCTTCCTCTACTACATCATGATACGGGTGGTTGTTGTCACATCCTCGGACAATGAAATTGAGTGCCTCTATACAATCTGATAGCAGATGAATTCTCCTAAAGCCCTTGGTTGAATTGAGGTAACACTAATAAGTTTTGCAATAGTGGGTGGGACTTTTGAGAGTTTACAACTGAAACCCACAATCCAATTCCCATTTCTATTCGTGATCACCCCTCCACAACCACTATTCTTATTGTTGAGGACTAATCCGTCTATCTCTATAACAATAAATCCTTTAGGTTTCCTCTGATAAGCTGGACCCCTTAAATATCTATTGTTTAGTTTATCACATTTTCTATTGAGGTCAAAATCTAAGCAGGCTCTAAAGAAACTTGCTTCGACATTGTTGTGCTCATAGTTTCCTTCCTCCCTAAATAGCTTCCGGCATCTAAATGTCCATATGTCCCAATAGACATAGCCAAACAGACTGCTCCATTGGACTTTGCGAGTGAACTCCAATCTAGCTTCCTTTTGTAGGTTCCATTCTAGCCATTGTGCACCCTGCAAAGAAAAGAATTCTACCCATAGGGAGGGCAATAATACTGATCTCCATCTTTCTCTTGCATTCGTATAGTCTCGAAGCAGATGCATAACATCTTCCTCCTCCTCACAATCGAATGGGCATGTTGTTGAGTCCCTAATTCCTCTCTTGTTCCTTAAATGGCTTGTGTGTAATTTGTCACGGCAGAACAGCCACATGAAAGACTTGATCCTTTATAGTATTCTCCAGCTCCATAGCCACTTCCATATGCTATCCTCCCTCCTTTGAGTACCTATACAGAGAAACAAATATGTAGATTTAACATAATACTAGAATACAAACCATTTATCAAACCAGAAGGAAGATTTCCTTCTATTTCCTATCTTCATTCCTAGGCTAGTAGTGAAACGATTCCATACTTTGCATATGCTTCTCCACGTGAGGGATGAGTTCTTTCTTTTGTTGTCATGCAATATCTCATCCTATTTTTTCTCTTTTTCTCTATCTCATTTATTAGTTTTTTGGATAGGAGCATTGTTTGCACATGATAGGAAGGTAGTGCTACCATCACCGATTTAACTAGTACTAGCCTCCCTGAAATATTAAGATATTTCCTCTTCCACCCAGCTAATCTACTGTTTGTTTTCCCCAAAATGGGAGTAAATAACCAGTAGGAGGCTCTTTTGTGGATGAGAGGGATGCCCAGGTATCTTCCTAAGTCTCCTGTGATTCTCACTCCCATTTTTTGGCTCAGAGAGATAGCCCTCGAGAAGTGAAAATTTCTTGAGAAGCAAATCTTCTTTTTTCCTTTGTTCATTTACTGTCTAGAAGCTCCACAAAAAATGTCAAGACATTTCATCATCACATCAATCTGTAGCTCCGAAGCTTCACCAAATAGGATTAGATCATCAGCAAAGAATAGGTGGGACAATAGTGGCCCTCTCCTACTAATTTTCATCGGTTTCCCCTCACCTTCTCTTATCAAGTCTGTGATTAAGTGGTTGAGTCGCTCTATACAAAGGTTAAAAATTAAGGGGATATTAGGTCCCCTTGTCGGATCCCTCGAGTACCCTTAAATTGTTGCATGGGAGCTCCATTCCATAGATCTTTATACAAAGGACTTGTAATGCAAGCCATAATAATATTACAGAGTGAAGCTTGTAAGCCCACAGCTACTAAGGTATCGTTGATAAAGCCCCACTCTAGTCTGTCATATGCTTTTTCTAGATCAACCTTCACTGCCAACCAACCCCTCGAACCTTTTTTCTTTTTCATTGAATAGATAACTTCTTGGGCTATGATAATATTATCGCTTCTCTGTCTTCCATTTATGAAGCTACATTGATGGTTACCCACCAACTTACCCATCATGTGCTTGAGTCTTCAGCTAATAATCTTAGTGATCGCCCCATTTTAGCCAAGTATTCCTGGAGTTTTGGAATCACATTAGCTCCTCTTGGGCCAAAATTTTATTATATTTATTCCAAAGTTCTTGCTCTAATTGCCAAAGGTGTTGAGAGTCCCTTCTTCCTCTTGCTCTTCCTATTTTTTCAATCCTATTTAGCAGATTTGTTCTTCTTGCTTTGTAGTTTCCTATTCTCTTTTTATTCCACAAAGTAGCTTCATGCATGAATGAATTGATCTGTTCAGCCTAATTTCTAGTAAACCAGCACTTTTGGATAATATCCACAAAATCACTCTCTAGAACCCACGCTGCTTGGCATCTGAATGGTGGAGCTATTTTCCCCCTGTTTTGTTCAGGTCCACTTTTTAGTAGTAAGGCTCTGTGGGCTGAGCCAAACTTGTTCAAAGTGTAAACTTTGGTTAATGGGAAGAGGTGTAGCCAATCAATATTAGCAAAAGCCCAGTTAATTTTTTCCAAGAGCAAACCTCTTTCCCAAGTGAACTTCTCCCCAACACTTTCCACTTCCACTAATCGTTTCTTGTATGCATTCTTCAAATTGTTTCATGGACGAAATACTGATATTTGCCTCGCCTCTTTTGTCCTCATATCATTGATAAGCATTGAAATCGCCCAGTACAAGCCACGGTTCATCCACATTTCTACTCAAGTCTATAGGGTCTAACCAAAGTTGTCTCCTCATATTACTACAAGGTTCAGCATAAATGCAAGAAAGCAGGGTCAAACAGTTCTGAATTTTATTTCCACGTTGACATGTAGTAATTGGGTTGTGGAAGTAAGTAGCTCCACTCTATTTTCTTCTTCATTCCACAATACCCAAATACCTCTTGCGTAACCCGTGGACTCCAAGTGTATCCAGTTATTGAATCCAGTTGCCTTATAATTCTATCAACCTTTTCCCAACTGACTTGTGTTTCATCAGGATAAGCAGATCAATCTTCTTTCCTCTGGTTAAGTCACCCACTTTATGGGAAGGTTTTGGAGGCAGTTCCTCTACAGTTCCAAGCAATAATATTCATAATACATCAAATGATAAAAAAAACAAACCCACACCTCCTTAGTGGGAGTCGAGGCTTGCTACCAAGTCGTTCATGGCAACTTGTAATTTTTTTCCTTCTTCTGGACCGTAATTCTCCCAATTTTTCAACCCCCCCGGGGGGGTCCTCCTGGCAACCAAACACATCCACCCCTCTTTTTTCCTCTCCCCTTCGCTCTCATGACCTTGTTCGATGCTCGTCTTGTCTCTTCCCCACTCTTTTGACTCTGTAGTACACATTCAGGGAGCTGTATTTAAAATCAAAGGGGAGTATTAACTTCAAACTTTTGACGAAGTAGAAGCAGAATCAACGAAAATCTCCATGGCGGGCTCGTCGGATCCCTCACCTTCTCCCAAGATCCTTTTGGCAAAGCCTGGTCTAGTCAGCGGTGGACCTGTTGCCACGAAATTCGGCCGTGGCAGCAGCGGCGTCGAAGACGAATCGGCGCAGTTCCGCTCTCGTCTTCCTTCAGTGGCTTCCCTAAACCTTCTCTCTGACTCCTGGGAGTTCCATATTGATCGCTTTTTGCCTGTAATCTCTGGTCATCTTTTGTTTTCTCCGATATTTATATTCTATGGTCATTCTTTTGCTTCATTGAAGGAAGAAAGTGAAAAATATGGTCTACTTGGTTGCGTGCTATGTGAAATAACGGCCGACGATTAGATTTAAGGTTAAATGGAACCTTGTTGGAGTGGAATACCGGCTATGGTCTGTAGTTGAAGTTGTTGGATTTTCTGTTTGTCGATATCTGTTTGATCATTTTCAGTGCTTAAATCTGTTTTACTTTCTTGCTTATTTGCGTGGCCTGATATATGTTGAATGCTGGAATGAATATTTTTCTGCCACTATTCCGTAAAAACGGGAAAATAGCTTGCCGTTCTCATTTAGCATTCGTAATACTGTATTTTATATTTTTTTAGGATAATGACAATGACATTTACAATTGGGTTAACCTTCGTCTGTCCGTGGTCTGCAAAACGGGAATTGGGCTGGCCATTTTTTTTAGGATAATGTTATATTGAGTGTGTGTATGTGTTTATAAATCTTGAATTTGAATTTCCAATGTGTTGACATTTACTATTGTGCATTTCCTGCCAATATACATTTGAGCATAGCCAATGAGGTGAAAATTAGTTGTAGTGAGTTGTTTTGAATGTTGCAGTTTCTAACAGAGAATACGGACTTTACCGTGGTTGGAGTGATTGGACCACCCGGGGTTGGCAAGTCAACAATTATGAATGAACTCTATGGGTTTGATTCGAGTTCACCTGGTGAGTCATTTGTGTCATCTGCCTGGTCTGACCATAGAGTTAGAACATTAACTATTAAGTGAATTGGTGGACTGCAATGCTTAAGCCCTTTTATATTTCAAAAAATTGTCCATTTTGTCTTCTCCACTCCAAAGGCAAATAGTTCGAACTATAGATTGTTAGGACCAAAATGCTCACTCCTATTAGCAAAACTGTCTAATTGACTAATGGAGCTCCTCCGTGTCGGAGAAAATGTGCCACAACATTGCTCCACTGTGTATGTGGCATATGATCAAGCAAATAAGAAAAGTAAAAACTTTTTAACCCACACCCCCCCAATCTGTTTCTTCTCTTTTAGTTATTATTATTGTTATTTCTCATGGGATTAAAGATTAGGGCTGTTATTAAAAAGAGGTTTTGTCTCAGTTTTGTGGGTTTCCGAATCTGAGTCTTTATTGTTTGTCCCAATTGATCTAAAACAAGTTTATGTCAGTTTAGTTTGGTGCTTGGCTCAATTTGAATCTCAACTGTCTGAATGAGAATCAAGTTGGGTTGGATAGAGAAATCATAACCTCTGTCAAAAATAGGATTGTCACCTGGCAGTGAGACACTATGCTTTGGAAAGTTAACGTATATATTTTGCCAGAGAAAAGCTAATATCAGTAACAGCATATTTCAAAAACAAAAAGAAAAATATGTGCTTGAAGATGATAGGTTCCCTGTAACATTTACTCCCTACATTATCAAAAAGATAAGGCACAAGTCCATTAATGCATGCAGATCAATGAACACCATTAAAAGTAGTTGGTGCCTGAAAAATTCTTTTAATTTCCCATTTATTTTCTCCACATTGCTCCACATGTACGGGAAAATGTCAAGGTAGGATTGGCTTAGTAGTTTTGTGTATTTATCAAGGGTATTTTTAGAAAGATATCACATATTCATATTGATGGAGACTTGGTAATATGGGATAGTAAGTTTCACATTGAGTAGTGTGGGATGCTCAATAGAGTATTTAGGTAGACTAGTTTTCCTATCTCAACAATTAGCTTTTGGGGTAGGTTACCCATCCCACTTAGTTACCTTGCACATGGATTTTTGCACTGTGCCTTATATTAACAAATAATCTTCCCAAATTGTGCCTTATATTTGATAACGGAGGGAATATTACCTTTTGGGTCATTTGTTCTTCTATTAAACGTCTTGTGTGCAATATAAAAACAGAATGGCAGTGTGATGGGGACTTTTGGATATTAAAATCAGCATCGGTCAGAAATCGTCATGCGAAGCATGTGGAAATATTGTAGCTGAAATAATGAGAGTAGATTGAAAGGATTTGCTACTCAAAATGACCTGTCTGTCCCTTTATGTAGCGATTTTGTACCTTTATTTTCTGCCATGATTCTCTCATTTGTATAAGCGATGGATTTTACTGAGGAATTAGTCATACAATGTGTGGCTCCTAAGTTGAAGACTCAGAAGTCAGAGGAAACTTTGTTTGGTCCATTAAGGATAGAATTAGAGGCATATGAAGATTTTGAAGAGCTGGTTGAGAGCACAAAGGAACAACTACTTGTGGTAGATATTTTGTCCAATGTTCCCATAGATTCTTTAACTTTTCAATCGCCTCTTGAGCTGAAATGAGCAATTGTGGAGGCCTCTTCACTGTTAATGTTAGTCAGCTAGAATTATCAAAACCTAGCTCTATCTAGTTATGGCCTCACGAAGTCCAAAGGATACATTATAACTGCAAGATAATAGGAAACTTTAAAATGTATGATAATAGGGAAATCCTAGTAAAATAGTATGGATTTGACAGATAATTAAATTTATAAAATTGAAATATAATAAAATAATATACATAAAAAATAATAATTACCTGTCTTAATATATTTTTAATTGAATTAATCTTTTTTGAAGTCGTATTTTCTATAATATACATCTATCTGTGTTAATTTACGAATATTTAATATTACTTTTCCTAATTTGTTTTAACCTCCAATAAAAAGACATCTCATTTGCATTAAAGTGCGATGCCATGAAAACATAGAACGTCAAATGTCATGAAATTAGTTAATCTGAAACTGGAAGGCAATTCCTTTTGTGAATGTGGCAATTGCATATGGTAACTTTGATGTCTATGCTTGCAGGGATGCTGCCACCTTTTTCCATAGAGTCCAATGATACTTCAGCAATGGCAAGGCATTGTTCTGTGGGCATTGAGCCAAGGATATCTTCTGAGCGTATTATTCTTCTTGATACCCAGGTATTTCACTGATTATCTTGTTTAGCCATTAAGTTGTGCCATTTTTCTTTTCCGTGGAAGCCATTTGTGTAGAGTTAACGCCTTCACACTCATATTTTGGAATTTGAAATCAGAATCAGATTGCTAATGATCCATTCAGATTATGATCTCAAAATGCATGTTATACCCATTTATAACCCTAAATCTAATTGACGTAGGATGATACAAACTGAGGAATTAAATAATGTTTATTTTGGAGGTTAGAAAATGAAGCCCCAAATGGTGGCTAAATTAGAAGCTTTAGATGGCTTAACTTATAGGATTTGCAGCAAGTGGAAGTTTTGCACACAGCGGCTTAATATTTATTTAGCTGTTTAATGACTTTTCTTCTGATGATACAGCATGAACTCAAGTAAAAATATCAAGAAGATAAAACCCAGTAGTTTTGAAGATGTAAATTATTTGAGACAGGAGTTGTTCATACTTGTCCCAATTTGGTTTAAAGGTTTGGTAACAAGGAGAACATAACATTGCGGTAATTATGTAGTTTTGCTTGGAAAGTAGTGCCCACGTCTTTAGGAACACATCATAGAATTAGGTAGAGGGCTGATGCATAACATTGGAGAGAACAGGGAAAAATTGGGAAAGAAGAGAGAAGAAGGGAATTAGAGGAGAAGATAGAATAGAAAAGAGAGGAAGAGAGACGAGGGAGCTAGAGAAAATAAGGGAACACTATCCATTAGCCAAAGCATATTGCATTTAGTCCCTAATCCCTTTATTTATAGCCATTGGCTACCTAACTAACTTGTAACTGACCTAAGTGCTAATATATATATATTTTAATTACATATCAATACCCCATCCCAAAAGAGCCTTGTCCTTAAGGGTCAAGTACAAGGGATAGAAAAAGAATTGAAACCAAAGGAAGGCTTTGATCTTCTAGGAAAATTTTGTTGGACTGGGTAGGTGTAGAAACAAAGATGGTGGGTCTGCTTTTGATAGCAGAAGAATTAGGGTTTGTTGGGTCATCGATTGATTTTTCATAGGATGATGCCATTGCTGATATTTTGCTTTGATACCAAGAAAAAAAATTGAGAGATCTTGTTGCTTAGAGGATTTTTGAGCGCTATTGATGCTGTATATAATCAGTAAGATAAAATGAGAGTGAGGGACTTATCCTTTCTGAATATTCCAGAATAGAAATACCCTTGTACATGTATATACAACAACAACAAAGCCTTGTCCCACTTGATGGGATTGGCTACATGGATCGCACGACGTTATTGAGCTCTATTCAAAGCCAAATCTTTGGATATATTGTTAATTGAAAGATCTTGCTTAATAACTTCATTAAGTATTGTCTTTGGCCTTCCTCTACTCCTTTTTAGAGGAGTTTGTAATGCTTGATCAACTTTTCTCACTGGCGCATTTAAAGGCCTTCTTTGCATTTGACCAAACCATCTCAAACAGTTTTATACCATTTTCTCATCAATAGCAGCCACTCTGACCTTTCTGCGTATATGTTCACTACAAATCTTATCTTTTTTTGTATGACCATACATCCATCTCAACATTCTCATATCGGCTACTGCCATTTTATGTTCATGTTGTTCCTTTAAAGCCCCAACATTCATTGCCATATAGCATTGCTGGTCTTATAGTAGTGTGATAAAACTTTCTTTTGACCTTATTAGGTACTTTCCGATCACATATACTCCTGTTGCTTTTCTCCATTTAAACTACTTAGCTTGAATTCTATATATCACCATCAATTTCACCATCTTTTGGATAATTGATTCCAAATATTTAAACTTTTCTACTTGTTGAATGACTTAATCTTCCAATCTGACCTCTAAATTTGTTCTAACTTTTCTCTTATAAAAAATGCTATACATATATTCTATCTTGCTTCTACTCAAATAAAACCCTTCGACTCCAAGGTTCTTGTTGACGCTACTGTAATCTCTGTCTATATTTATCATTTATTGCCTTTAATTCAGATGATCTTTACCTGATTTCTCTCCTAGGATCTCGGCAGATCTGTTTGAATTTTAAATTACTTATTTTGAGTTGATTTCCAGCTGATTGTGTAATCAATAGGTTGATCCTAGAATTTGCTAAACTTAGGGATTACTCCTATAAATACTGTACCTATGTTTTGGAGGAAATACACTTTTGTAGTGGCATAAATTATTCATGGTATCAGAGCACAAATGATCCAGTTCGGTTTTAGGCTGGACGGTGAAGGCCAGGGTGGTTCACACCCATCTGGGCACAATACATCAACAACGCCGGTGAACTACCAAGCGCCAAGCGATGCCACATCATCTCAGATCACTATTCACCGCTTAAACGGACAGAACTTCCTACAGTGGGCAGTGGGTGTTCGCCTCTATGTTACTGGAAAGGGCAAATTTGGGTACCTGAATGGTGTGACAGCGAAGCCGGACTTGAAGGACCCAAAGTACTGCATCGGGGAGGCTGAAGAGTCAATGATTCAATCATGGTTGGTCAATTCAATGACCACAGAGATCAGCACTAGCTTCACCCTGTTCAAGTCTGCCCAAGAGGTCTAGGAAGCAACATGATATATGTTCGCCTCCTTGAACAATCGTGCTACAATTCTGGAAATAGAAGCAAACCTGGACAGACTCAATAAAGGTAATTTAAATATGACAGAATATTGGACTAATTTGGTTACCATATGGTAGTAGCTAGACCAGTAGGATACATATGAGTAGTCATGCACTTCAGACACCAAACTATATGCCAAGATAAAAGAGAAGAGGATTTACAAGTTCCTCCTCGGATTACCATCCTCCTATGATGAGATAAGAGGGCGAATCATGAGCCAAGAGAGACTGCTTAGCGTATGAGAAGTGTTTTTCATGGCAAAACAAGAAGAGAGCCGAAAGAAGCTAAATGGTTCGAGGCAACCAGCAACCACTGAAACTGAATCAAGCGCTCTTGTAACCAAGGGCAAGAAGAATGGAAAATGGTGTGAGCACTATCAAAAACCTGACATACTTAGGATATTTGTTGGAAATTACATGGCAAACCACCAAACCAAAAGGGGAAAGGGAAACTTGAAACACGTGCTCATGCAGCAAGCTCAGACTCTAGAGATGAATCAAAGGGTAACCTGAGCAAAGAGGAGCTGGACTTCCTTAGAAAATTGCTAGAGAAACACAACACCAAGTAGGAAATGATAGCTAGCCACTGGTAATGTAGCTTATACAGGTAATGCTATCCTAGCCCTTAAAGCAAATGTTCACTATGATCAAAAGTGGATTGTAGACTCTGGAGCTACTGATCATATGGCTGGTAATATTAACCTCCTCCAAAATGTTAAACCATGTGAATTCCTTATGTTCATAAAGGTGGCAGATGGGAAATTTATTAACGTTCATGGGATTGGTGAGGTGTGCCTATTCGGTGATGTGATACTTAAAAATGTTCCCTGTGCCCCTGATTTAAAATGCAAATTAATCTCTGTGAGCAAAGCTACTGTTTCACGATGCTGTGACATCAATTTTTCTGTCACTCAATGCTTGTTTTAGGACTTGGAGTTGGGGAAGAGGATTGGCACAGCTAGGTTACTGGAGGGGCTTTACTGCATAGACCACCACTTAAGTGATTAGAATTGGGTACATTCCAGGATATATGCAGCAGAAAAAAATTCAGCAACTCAACTTTCCAATAATGAAGCGTTGTTATGGCACTATAGGTTAGGCCATCCTAGTTTTAAATATATGTCCAGATTGTTTCCAAATTTCTATTCTATTCCCTGTGAAATTTGTCAACTCTCTAGACACACCAAGAACAATTACAAGGCTCATTCACATCAGTATACTCACCCTTTCTCTCTCGTGCATAGTGACATCTGGGGTCCTGCCCGTATCCCAACTCTAACAAAGGCCAGGTGGTTTGTCACACTAATAGATGATCACGCACGAGTTACATGGGTTTTTCTTATGAAAGACAAATCTGACCTCACTCAAATCATCATAAACTTCCACAAAATGATTAAAACACAGTTTGACACTTCCATGAAAGTTCTTCGGAGTGACAATGGGAGGGAATATATGAACACTCATCTCCAAACTTACCTTAAACAGCATGTTATTGTGCACCAAACAAGTTGTGTAAACACACCACAGCAAAATGGAATAGCCGAAAGAAAGAACCGCCACCTTCTTGAAGTCACTTGGGCTATAATCATGACTAATAATGTGCCAAAAATCTACTGTGGGGAGGCTCTTGTTACTGCCACACACCTAATAAATCGCCTACCCTCAAAAACATTGAACTTCCATACACCAATTCAGATCCTATCCAAAACCTACCCCAATTCACATATACTCACCCATATCCCTGAAAGAGTGTTTGGTTGTATAGCTTATGTCCACAATGACCATGGCAGCAAACTTGACCCCCCGGTGATTAAATGCATTTTTCTTGGCTATTCCTCCACTCAAAAGGGCTATAAGTGTTACTCTCCAACCCGGAAAAAATACCTTATCTCAATGAATGTAACCTTTGATGAAACTCAAGCCTACTACTCCAAAACACCCATTCAGGGGGAGAGTGAGGAAGAATGGGAGTTTTCCCTACTTGATCATGAGACACAAGAGCAACCTATACCTAAACATGAGCAACTTACATCTACCTCTCCATCCCAACCCGAGCCTACACTAGCCAATCAACCCCAAACTGAGCTAATACCACCCAATTTAGATCTGAATACACCTGAAACAGGTTCCAATAATGATAGCCGAGACAATGTGGAGTTGGAAAGTGAGGAGTCAGACTTTGGAAATGGAGAGGCAGGTCAAAATGCCTCAGCACAAGAGGAGACAGGTGCTGGAACTACACAACAACAGTGAAGTACCCTCTAAGACTGAGCAATACCAAGAATCAACCTCAACTATAGGTCCAGGTGATCTTGGATGGCCTATCGCATTGAGAAAGGGGGTAAGATCTTGTACTAAACATCCTATAAGCAACTTTGTGTCATATGA